GATGATGATGATGATGATGATGATGATGATGATGATGATGATGATGATGATGACATCAGTAATGATAATAATTAAATAAAGGGTTCATTTGCTCCTTATTTTAGTAAAGTGGTGTTCCAAAACACTCCATTGTCAATGGCTTTCAATACAATTTATTTTTGGGTATATTATGTACTTTAATATCATTCTGTTGATATCAACTTCTACTCGTGACCGCTTCCTTTTGCTTGGTTTTAAAAGGTTTCCGTCAACAGATCCCGGGTAGACCAGATCAAACAATCACTACTAACCGAATAAGTGTAGACCCCGTTTAATTTTTTTTAAGTTTAAAAAGTTCTACTCCAGAAACGAACCGATTTCTTCGTCCTTCTCGGTGAGCGATATGACAAAAAATACATGCATATTAAACAAATCCAACCGTCTTACGTTTATTCAAAAGCCCGTTTTGTAAGTATTACATGTGCTAATCAGCGTTGCATTAATAGAAACCACGTGCGCTGGCAGGCTGATAAACACCCTACATAACTTCTCCGGATTGATATCTCTGAGAACTTGATTAGGACCGGCTGTGCTTTGTTTTAGGAATCGGATACCGCCGAGTCGTGCCGACTCGCGATGCTTTAGCATTACGCGGCGCCATAACTGGTCGCGGTGTTAACAGAATTCGTACGGCGCTTTCTTTTGTGTTGTGAGTTTATGTTGAGCTTAGTTTAGTAATGGGTATGCTCAGGAGTTTGCTTCGAGAGAGGGGATCGTATGGTTTTGCAGTTTTCTGGATGAATGTACTGAGCCGTGCCCTCACTCCCGTGTTTCGTGCACAGCTGTGAATATGACGGAGGAAAATGAAATACGAGAGGTGACAATAAAAAAATACCCAAGTTGTTGCACTGAGCACACGGTGGAAAGAAAATGAACTTTCAAAGACTTAGATCGAACTTACAAAAAGGAAAACAAACAAATAATGACACGTGAAAACACGTCGGGTTTTTACTTTTCTAAAACATGATACGTGGATGTTTACCTTTAGATTTGTCACAAGTTTCGAAAACGCAGGAAAAGTTGTTCAAGCTTCCGAGACCAAAGTCAAAATAATTATTGTAACGAGGCGGAAAGCTGTAGAAGGTCATTAAAACAAAAGGTGCGGGTGTGTGGATGGGTGTGTGTGTGTGTGTGTGTGTGTGTGTGTGTGTGTG